CCCCCCGAAAGATGCATCGCATTAGGATGCTATGAAATACGCTTATTGAAGTATAGTATCGTCCCTAGGTGGATCAGAAAAATCACTTTAAATGTTCCCCGATGCGTCGTGAGCCCTAGTGACAATGTATTACATAAGAGGTTTTAAGTTATCAGTGGTAGATTATAGATCAACATTAAGGTGAATCACCGATAGATGGATAAAAGTTCCAAAGTATGAGATGAGATTAGGTTGTCATTCTTAAGATGAACAGTAATGAGGAAGCATTAAAGGACTTAGATTTATACATATAGGATAAGCAGCGACATCGTAACATATAGTTGGGTTACAAATCTCGGTAATAATAAACTGAAGTAAGTTTTATGGTATAGTATGACCCAACTAGATGTAGTAAAGCCATAAGGATAGATAACCGAGGCTATGAAACAAGATATAGCAATAGTCGTAAGTTCGACAAAGTACCAAGTGAAGGACTTCAGTACACCTATAGATGCCTAGAGGGACAGCTTGTCATAGTTCTGTATATGTTCACAAAGTGAGGCTTAGAGATTGGATAATAGCTGGAGGAAAAAGGAGAGAAGAGTCGCATAGTCATACATACAGGGATAGAGTCGTACAGGCTATACGACCGAGGTAGAAACAGTAATGAGATTGGAAGAATTCCGACCACAGGTCATGGTGCGAGAAAGAGGCCTGAAGGGGGGAATGCCCTGGACTTTGGATTTATTCACAGAATAGTTGCCTAGATGTCAAGGACAATACAAAATTATTCGTAAGAGCTATAGGTTATGAGACTGATAAGCGCATCAGTCAACATTCGAGGATGAATGTTCCAAAGGGGGGAATGATGTTACACCCCATATTTTCGTACGTGAGAGTACGTCGTAAGTCAATTGATGTAAGCTCTGAAATGATAACATATTTAAAAGTACATAAAGTAAGTTAATCATATTAACTTGGAGGTTACAAAAATTGAAGATCATGGACTGCAAGTACCAAGAGGGTTGGAAGGCTTGGAAGCTAAACCAATTAAAAAAAATAAGTTTCGTCGAAAGTTGACAAGTTGGGAATGTTATAACATGTACTTTTGGGGTGAGACTAGGGTACTCAAAATGAAAAGGAGGTTATGTTATGGTTTATTTTTGTCTTATGATATTCGTGTGTTATATTTTGAAGTCAAGCGAGTTGTGGAACAAAAGTTGGCAAAGATCATCACAAGTTACATTCATAAATATGTTGAACATTAGGTCAAATATAGCTGAGCACATTTCCTAATTTACTTGGAATTAAGGGATGACACACATAAAAAATTGATGATCTACGAGTCTAGTTTCTAAATCATTAAACCGTTTGTTGATACGACATCAGAGTAGAGAGATATGTGCAGTTTCGCGAGACTGCGTAGACTGCATAGGTGACAAGCATGTGTTTGAAGCGTTTTGAGTAATACATTTCATGTTTTATATAAGGTATTTTTGGGACATATTATATACCAAATTGAAGGACTTGGAATTTAGTTTCTAATTCTTTTAACCGCTTGTTCATACGACATCTGTATAAAAAGATATAAACATCGAAAGAAGGGCCAATGCTAGGGTGCCAAGCTAGCACCTCTTTGACTTTTCAAAACTTGATATACATAGGGTTTTAAATCGTCCTTCTCTTCATTTTTCATAGAACACGACCAGAGAACCCCCAAAAGCTCACACTTCAGCTCTCTACAAGGGTTCTAAAGAAGATTAACATTCCGGGTATGAAATCAAGAAGCGATAACATTAGAACGATCCCTACGACGTAAGTATCGCTATATCGCCTCTCTTTTTCTTTGTAGTTTGAGTTTTGGAATGTACTTCATAGTTAATAAAATTCCTAATTTATATATTTAAGATTTTAAATATCAAGGAAGGTTGATAAATTCGTTTTCTAATAGTTAGAACTCACGGGACGGTGATCGAAAGCCATGAGTTCGATTTATTTCACTTTTAGTGGACTGTTTTTTAGTCCACTCGTGTTGGACTCTTGTGCTGATGTTTTATGGATTTTTGGAGGATAAAAGGTGAGGATAAACACCACATAATGATAGAATGGTGGGCTGGTCATTCGTCGTTACAAGTTTTAGGTTGTTTGACACTACTTTGGTTGTCATTTTATGTATGAAGTGATTAGGGTGTGTGGGTTGTTTTGTGGTATATTCTGATGAAGATAACGTTGGAAAATGATGCATACATGTTGTTACTATTGTGTTCTTGTTGTTATTGGTATATTGTATTGGAGGAGGACCTAGTTACAGGGGAAATTCTGCCCAAATTTACGTAAACGAGCTACTAGTTTAAGTTGCAGACTTAGCCTTTACTCAGCACTGATTTTGAATCTCCTTATGCTATGGTAGATTGAGTTGAGTTGTTTGAAGAATTTCTTGGAAGGTATTAAGGACTCAACGGAGTTAAGGTGTGTTAAGGCTTAAACCTTTCCTTCATTTTGGCATGATCCCGCAACTACATGAGTTTGATAACGAGACATAAAGAGAAGTTCGTATTCCTGAACTTATGTAGATTATCCTAGTCTCATAAGTTATAGTATTATCCCTTATCGAGACTNTATTATAGTACCTTTACCACTATCGAGCTATAATCGATGGACATTCCCCTATTGGGCAACCTTTGATCAGATAGTAAGTTATATACCAAGCCTACTGTGGCCGAGTGCCTATGAGCGAGCCCAGAATGGCCGAGATACAGAGCGTAGTATAGGCGAGCGCCTATGAGCGAGCCTACTACGCAAAGCAGTTACACATACTGAGCCTTATAGAGCCGGACAGATATTTTACTCACTATATTGAGAGAGATGAGTCAGTATCAGTAGGTGAGCATATCTTCAGATTATCTTTGACTCCCAGTTACTTTCAGTTATTATATTATCAACTTAGTTTCAGCTTTCAGTTATTTTGTTGCCTTACATACTCGGTACATTATTTTGTACTGACGTCCCTTTTGATGGGGACGCTGCATTTCATGCCTGCAGGTCCTGATAGATAGCTGGATAGACCTTCCCAGTAGACAAAGCCAAACATCAGCTTGGTTGGTAAGCTCCACTTCCCCGGAGTTACCAGGTCTAGACCTTGGAGTCCATTTTATATATACTGGTTTGATGGGTAGGTTGAGGCCCTGTTCCGACCATGATACAATTTAGTTATCCCTAGAGGCTTGTAGACGAGTCCTATACATTTTTTTATATCATTATTGTGGATTTACCAGCCCTATATAGATGTTTAGTTTGGTATTACTGGTTGTAGATGTAATTTTCAGATGATTCAGAATATGGCCTCATCGGCCTAAGTTGAGGGTTACCCCTCCAGAGTTCACAGTTACAGAGTGGTACGCTCGGGCTGAGTATAGCATCAGGTGCCGGCTACGCCTCTTCAGGTTTGGGGCGTGACAGTTCGGCAATGGGAACGAGTCCTTTGGGCACGCCTTATTTAAGTCCTTATAGTCTACGCACATGCAAAATTTATTATTCTTCTTTGGAACTACTACTAAGTTAGCTAGCCAGTGTGGATACTTTACCTCTCAGATTGAACCAATATCAAAAAAGGCGAGTTACCTCTTCTTTGACGAATTTATTTCTGGCCCCGACGATAGGACGTTTTTTCTATCTTATCAAAGGAATGCTGGGATCCAAGCTTAGCTTGTGTACGGCCACATTCGGCGGGATACCTGTCATATCCGCATGCGACCACGTAAAATAATCGACATTAAATTTAAGAAATTCAATAAATCCAGATCTTAATTCGGGGTGCAGTCCTGTCCCCAGGTGGAATTTCCTCTCCACGAACTTTTCGAATAATGCGACTTGCTTAAGCTCTTCCACTGTAGAATTTTTACGTCCATCTCTTCTAGTACCTGGAAATACCTTGGCACCTGACAAGATCCCGATACCTCTTCTCCCCGGTTGACTTTGCTTTTCTCGGGAGCAGGTGCCGGTTCCTGTAATTGCTATGCTCCATGCCCTTTCCCTTTGCTACTGGAGACCGAAATTGCATTCAACTCTCTTGCCGCCAGTTGATCACCTTTTATTTGTTTAATTTCCTCGGGATTTGGGAATTTCAGCAATTGGTGTTACGTCGATGGTACAACCTTCATATCGTGCAACCATGGTCTTTCTAGGATAATGTTGTAGCCCATATCACCATCCACCACCTCAAAAATGGTCGTCTTCATCACCCCTTCAGCATTCGTGGGCGGCAGGATCTCTCCTCGGGTTGTCACACTTGCTAGGTTAAACCCGGCAAGGAGTTTTGTTGCCGGAATGATGCTTCTGGTGAGCTTGGCTTGCTCCAATACCCTTCATTGTATAATATTGGCCGAACTTCCTGGATCCACCAGAACACGTTTGATTTTAATATCTGATACATTTAAAGAGATTACCAATGCATCGTTGTATGGTAGCAACAATCCATCTACGTCCTCCTCCGTGAAAGTGATGTCATCTTCAGCGACTTCCCGGAGCCTCTTGATATGGTTTACTGACACCTTTGTCTTTTTTTCTACCGAGAATGTAACCCCATTAATCTCGTTTCCCCCAAAAATCAAGTTGATGGTCAAGCGCGGGGGATTTTCTCCTGTTTTTGAGGGCTCCATGTTGTCATGATTGCGATCGTAATTATTTTTAGCCTGGTCACTTAAAAATTCCCTGAGATGGCCATTTTTCAGTAGCGTCACCACCTCTTCGCGCAGATGCTGGCAGTTCCCGGTCTGGTGAGCATTCGTCATGTGATATTCGCACCAAAAATTAGGATCCCTCTGACTGTGATCAGATCTAATTGGATTTGGGAACCGTGCTTCTTTAATGTTCCTCATAGCCAACATCAACTCTACTACACTGACGTTGAGGTTATATTCTAAAAGTCTGGGGTAGGAAGAATCTCGAGAACCTGACGTTTCCTTGTCCTATAACGACTTCTTGTTCCGGTCGCGATCAGTTCTTCTATCGGTAACGAACCTGTCTGCCGACCCAATACTTCTGCCGCGTCTTTTGGCCCGTTCATAAGGCAAAAATCGGCTCCTCGAAGACTGTCTATGTGTGTCAAAATTGTCTTTTAATTTCTCTTTATTCTTCTCCCGACCCTTAACCGACGCCAGGAAACCGAGCTGATCATCCTCAATCCTTATCTTTGACCGGTACTGATTATGAACATCCGCCCAAGTTTTCGCTTGGAACTTGCGCAAGCTTTCTTTCAACTTCAGGGAATCATCGGAACTCCTCATATTCAAACCCTTGGTGAATGCTTCAGCTGCCCATTTATCCGGAATGGCCGGTAGGAACATCCTTTCCTTCTGGAACAGGGTTACAAACTCTCGCAGTAACTCAGACTCTTCTTGTGCAATCCTGAATATATCGACCTTTCGGGACTGTACCTTTCTGGCCCTGGCATGTGCCTTAATGAAAGAATCTACGAGCATCTCGAAGGAGTCTATAGAATGCTCAGGCAAAAGCGAATACCACGTCAAGGCTCCCTTCGTGAGAGTCTCTCCGAATTTCTTTAGCAAAAACGATTCAATCTCGTGGGGAGCTAAATCGTTCCCCTTCACCGTTGTTGTATAGGCGGTGATATGCTCCTGAAGATTTGAAGTTCCATCATATTTCGGCACGTCAGGCATTTTAAACCGCTTCGGAATCAATTCTGGTGCCGCGCTTGGTTTGTACGGCAATTGAGTGTACTTTTTTGAGTCCGGCCCTTTCAGCACTGGTGGTGCACCCAGAATTCGGTCCACGCGGGCGTTCATTTCCTTTATAAACTGTATGAATTTTTTTTGAAGGGATCACTCTCATTGTTGTGACCGGATCCGTCCCCCCTATCCCCATCGAAGTCGACCTCTCCCCTCAGAGTGTTGTTGTTGACCCTCTACATTGTTTGATTTGCGGGGGCATCGGGAGGAACTGGACCTAGTCCATTTGCGTTATTGGAAGAACCTGATAACGCATGCTTCAGCTCTATCATAACCTTATCATGTCGTGTGAGATGTACTAAAATGGCCTCTTGTTGCTCCTGTAAAACCCTTACCGCTTCGACGACGTGCTCTTCTTCAGCATCATCAGGAGTCGCCTCCCGAACATGTCGAGGGTACCGCCTGCTATAGACCGATGTTGCCTTGTTCCTCTCACTGCGGGTATCACTGATTGAATCCTCGTGGTAAGGCTGATTTCCTTCGGTCTCAAGATTGTGTGTGTTGTTAACACCATTATCTGCCATTTTCTATGATTTTTTTCTGAGAACAAATAATTAAACACGTTAGTAAAATAGGCAAGGACCAACTTAATTCCACAACTGTTTAAGCCTCACGGTGGGCGCCAAACTATTTACCCATAAAATAGTACTATTAATTTAATCCTGAAATATTAGATGAATTAGACAAAAATATAATACTTAGCCTTGAGATGAAGATAAAATAGCAGAAACAGTAAATCTGGGAGCAGGGCTTCCAGGGAGAATAGCAACGATATCAGTAAACAAGAAGATAAAATTAAATTAAGCTTTGAATAGAGTGTAACGTATGTTTGTTAGAAAATTCATATCCTTTATAATGATGATATAGCTCCCTATTTATAGCTGCACCTAAGGAATAAAGTCCTAGGATCAAGCTCCTTTTTAATGTCAATTATGAGGACCATTGAAAAATGTATAACGGCAGACAGTGAATGCCATATTTCTTATTACTGGCCGTGTACTTAATGTTATAGAATATTCCTCATTAAATGCTACCGAGAGGCAGACATTTATTTCGCCTTTACGAGTATCATTCTCTCCGGTAACAGACGGGATCGTTGCCTTCGGATTCAACTATTTCCTATCTTCGGCTCCATGTGTCACTTACTCATGCAATCATTTAATATAAACATCTTTTACACTATATAGATATACCAAAAGCATCTTCCACTCTTGAAATAAGGTGAATATAGTACTCTGATTTTTAGTCACATGAAATTATGTCTATTTGTAGATTGATCAATTTTTCGGAAAAGAAATCATCTATGTCTTTGGTCCTCAAAGAATTTGTTTTTTAAATCTTAGCTACTTTTCTTTCTTTTGCCTTTTCCCAACTAAATAGTGACATGCAAAATAAGAAACATCGATAATACTATGAAAATTTTACGCCTTATGTAATTTGTCAAAATCTTGTGAGTTTTTTATTTGGGACAGCAAAAATCTACTTTGCAATTTGTCTGAAATTCAGTTTTCATCCTCAAGCATCATCTCTTTCCCATAGATGGGGAGTTACTCCGTATACGGTCGAAATAGATTTTGGCCTTCGTACAATTGATCGAGGTCAAAACATAATGGATCAAAGAAAGACTTTGTAATATCGAGATGGGTTCTGAAGATGGTATGAACGAGCTTCAGATTTCAAGTATAGGTCAAACACCGAGTTCGAAGTCATTATCGAGCTCGGGTCCGAATCAAACTATGATGAGATGATTTCGAGCTTAAGGGGCAGAGGCCAACCGATACCGAGCCCGAATCATCACCTGATCCTGAGTCCACATCGAGCTCACAGACAAGAGCCGTTGCAAACACACTAAGGGAGAGAATATCGGCGGAAATTAGGGAAAAGCTGATTTATCATGGGTTCTCCACTATGTACTTTTAATTATATCTAAAGTAGGATCTTTCACTATAAAGAGGATGGCTACATTTCTGTAGAGGGCAGTTCTTTGGCTTACATTGTAAATTCAAGCACCATACACTCCAATATTGATGAGTTATTCTTTTAAGATTCATAAATTGATTCATCTTGCTTAATCCTAAAAATCATCTTCTTTTCAACCTTATTTATTTGGTATCCGTATTTGAGATTTCTATTTATCCTTACAATCTGTATTAAGCTATACTACATATCCTTAGAACTACGTACAAATTAAACTCTATCCGTTTTTTGAGTAAACAACTCCCAACTCGTTATAATAATTAGATGTGCATAATATTCTTATTTTCCCCTTGTTCTCGCTTGGAAGAATACGGGAAAATCTTCATTTGGAAGTTTGTGTCAAAATTTCCGAATTAATTCAAATGGCAATACCAATATTTAGTTTCATTAATTGAGTCATAGGCTACAGACTCTAATTCATATTAGGTGTGTGTAAATATAGTCCTATATGGAAAGTAGCAAAGAAAATGATTCTATTATAAGGTGTTGAACTTTTTGGAAAAAATCGTGCAGATTTGGCACAACGCTTCAATATCACACTATGTTAAAAATAGAGAAATTTTCATAAACTACTACTATTTAGAGTATAGTAACTATTGTTTGCCTAATCAAGAGTGCAATGATACAACATGTATCGACTGTATTTATTCGCGCAACGAATACAACAAAGGCGAAATACAGAAATACAAAAAAATAAAATGTTCTTATTGAGAGTCGAACTCAAGACCTCCTAGAATTTTTCTCTCAAAATTCCGCCGTCACTGTAGCAGCTACAGTGCCGTGAACAGTGCATGCGAGCTACTGTTAATCGCGGAAAGCTGAAGCTTTGAGCTTCAAATGGCCACAATGGCCGATGGCCATCCATCTTTGTCGGCTGATCAGCCCTTCCCCAGCGTTGCACAACAACATACAACAACAAACTCCAATCCAACCCCCGTATATTTCTCAAAGATTTTGAAACCAAATACGTTAAATCCTCCAGCGATGGCTACTGCTGCAAATTCAGTGCAACCCATTCCGATGCGACGGGCTACTTTCTTGAATGGTTATCCAGTTATTAGATTCACAGCGGCAGAAGTCGAACAAATGAATGTTATTGAGGGTCTTCAATATGCCGTCGTCGAAAAACTCTCATATGGATCTCCGGAGATTTATGAACTTCGCCGAATCATACCAACACAGTGTGGTATCAAAGGAGAGTGCAATATTGGATTTCTTAGAGATCTTCATGTGTTAAATAGATTAACTCTATGGCAAGACTTCCTTGATTTCACATTGAAGAGTACATACTACATCAAAGCCAAAGATAGGTACGAATACCAGTTGTGAACTCTTATTTACGATGCAAAATTTAAGGCGGGTGAAGAAACTTCGATGGTGATGGTGTGGATTTCTTTTCCGGGACTGCTTCCTACTTTTTATGTAAAGAAAACTATGTTTTCCTTAGCTACAGCTGTGGGGAGGCCCCTGTGTCTTGACGCGGCGACGATAAACAAAACTAGGCCGAGTTGCGCGAGAGTAAAAGTTCTAGTTGATTTATTGGTTGAGCTACCCAAGAGGATACGTCCGGACATCGATGATAAAGTTACTGGAGGGGTAAGAACAGAGTGGGTAAAGGTTCACTATGATATTTTGCCAAAATATTATAAGGAGTGTAAGCTTCAAGGCCACAATGAAATCGAATGTTGGCGATTGAACCCCGACCTAGTCGAAAGTCGAAGCAATGACAAGAGAGCTGCTTCTGATACATTTCACGATGTCACAACTGCAGTGGAAGACCAGGGGAAAACAAAAAAACATAATGCCCCTTTAATGATTCTCACGAGAGGAAAAGTTGTTGGGAATGTGACTAAAACTGGGCAAAAAATCGTGCCAGTTGAGAAGACTACTCAACAGGTGCAAACAGATAATAAATTTGCAATCATGGAGATGGATAACAGTGAAGATAATGAGAAGAATCAGATTGTTGTGGTAGAGGAAAATGCTCAGCAAAATGGAATTCATAATCCTAAGGAAAATGGGATTAGAAATCCTGCAGCACCTGGCAATGTGGCTGGTAATGGCAAGGAACTATGGAAAGAAGTTAGGGATAACCGTGGCAATAATGTTATTAATTAGAAGGAAACTCACAGAACTAATGGAAAAGAAATAAT